AGGGCGGGGAGGGGGGGGGCAATGGAAGGGTGAATGAGGCTTAGGGAGTCCCGGCGCGGAGAGCTGTGCTATAGACTTACCCCAAGAGGCCTGAGGATAGTAGTGCAGGCTAGGAGAGTTAGCCGGTGGTGCAGGCCCAGGGAAGCAGAGAGAGGTGAGGGCGGGGCCAGGACCAGAAGCGGTGCTCCTGGAGCCCAAGAAAGGGACTGAGTTGCTCTGGGTGAGAAGGATCAGGAAACAGTATTGGTTCCCCAGGTGCCTGGGGCCCCAAGACTAGGAATGGCGCAGGGCCCAAACTAGGAGTATAGAACGGTGGGGGCGGGGGGGATGGAAGGGTGAATGTGGCTTAGGGAGTCCCGGCGAGGAGAGCTGCGCTATAGACTTACCCCAAGAGGCCTGAGGATAGTAGTCTACACATAACATTTTTAAAAAAGAATGTGAAAACATTAACCCCTTGGGCATTACTAGTAAATAAAGGTCAAACTATTCTGGTAGACAGTTTCATTAAAATATCAAAAATAGGGGCTGGAGAGATGGCTCAGCAGTCACAAGCACTGACTGCTCTTGCAGAAGACCCGGTTTTGATTCCCAGCACCCACATGGCAGCTACAAACCGTCCTTAACTCCAGTTCCAGGGGAATCCGAAGCCCTCTTCTGACCTCCGCAGCATTACATGACACGGGTGCACTCACATACATGCAGGCAATATACTTGTACACATAAAAATAAAGATTTAAAAAAAATATATATATATATATATATCGTTCTATTTTTAGGTACATCCAAAAACAGAAAGGAGGATATCAAAGTAATTTATACCCATGTTTATTGTATCACTGCCCACAATAGCCAAGAAATTTAACCTAAATGTCCACTGAATAAAGAAAATGTGGTATATGTATACAGAGGAATATGATTCATCCTTAAAAAGGAAATCTGATTACATACCACAACATGGATGTACAATAAGACATTATACTAAGTAAAATAGGCCAGTCACCAAAAGACAAATAATGTGTGACTTCCCTTATATGAAGTATATAAAGTAGTTTAGCTCACAGAAACAGAAACAGGGTGCTTATCAGGGCCTGAAGAAACAGAAAATGAGGAAATATTCAATAAATAGAGGGCTCAAGTTCTGAAAGAAAGTTCTAGAGATCTATCTCATAGCAAACTAAACATAGCTAAAACTACTGAACTATATACTAAAAACAGCTAGGCAGTAAATTTTATGGTATGCTTTTTGTACAAATATAATTTTTAATTCAAAAATAAAAGGCGGCAATCCTGACACAAGCCATGAAGGGATGAACCTGGAGAATATTGTGCTAAGTGAAATGGGCCTGTCACAAAGGGACAAATACATGCTTCCATTTACAGAGGGAACGTAACATGGTCAAAGTCATCGATACAGAAGCAGCACAATGGGCTGCCAGGGGCTGAGGGAGTCCATATTTAACAGCATCAGTTTGGGAAGATGAAAAGCTTTTCTGAGGTTGGACAGTATTCACAACAGCAGAATGATTGCATGGTGTACTTAATGCCACTTAACTATAAACTTTAAAATAGTTACAATCTTAATTTTCCTTAATTTATTGAACTCTGGACTTTTATTTTTATTAATGTACATTTTTCCTAAGCTTTTGTGCATTTTATACAATAGATCTTAAATTTAGATCTCTTCCCCCATCTGTACACCCCATGGTCCCCCCACACACTGTATTTCATGCATTCTTTCATACATGTTATGTCCTATCCCGTCAAGGATTTGTATCTAGATGTCCCTCAGTACAAGTTCATCCACTGAAGTCTAGTCAGTCTAGAGTCACTCTCTTAAAGATCAACTCCTCCCTCACCCCACAGTAATCAGTTGCCAATAGTTCCTCAGCTAAATGCTGCCCATTTCCCCAGTTCTATGCTGAGTTTTTGGCTGGAGTCAGCATGGGTCTTGTGCATGCTGTCACCATTGTTGCAAGTTCATAGAAGCAAGTTCCCAGAGGACCGAAAAACCTCTGTTTCCTTATGTTCATGCACCAACCCTGTCTCTTATATCTTTTCACCCCATCTTCCACAATGGTCCCTGAGCCATGGGTGGGTGAGGTTTAACATAGGAGTCCTATCCAGGCACACATACTCTGCAGTCTCTTATTCTCTATACCTAGGCCAGTTGTGCCCTTCTGTGTGCATCACAATCTGCTGCATGAGGAAGCTTCACTGTGAGAGCTGAGTGATGCCCTAGCATTCTCTCTACCCCCAGTTCCATTATGTTCTATGAGCCTTAGGTGTAGAGTTTCTACTATAGATGAGTCACTTAGGGCTGGGTATCTCTCAGACAGATATTCTCTGTGTATGACCAGTTGTAGAACTCTGTAATAGCCTCCATCTGTTGCAAAAAGAAACTTCTTTGATGAGTGGTATGCAATGTAATTTGATGGTATTTAGATCTCCTCCCCCAATGTTGTTTTATGTCATATTTTAATGGTAATTTTTAAAACATCATTTAAAGCTATTAACACCTATATAAAAGATCTCACATCAACCTAACCTTCTACCCTAAGGTGTGTACTAGAAACTAAGAAAATAAACAGAGCCTGCTTTCTAGGAGTCATTCAAGGAGTGTGGACTGGCTTTTACTGGCACGATTCACAGAAAGGGCTTTAAGCAGCCCATTACATAAGAAATCAGAAACTACAGAACAAGTAGTAGGGTAGCACCACAGAACCCAGTCAATTCCAGAGGCTACAGAGAAAAGATTTCAAAGTGTGAGGGGAGCAACTAACATGCTTGGGGGTGGTTGTTTTTTTGATAAAAATAAGAAAGATCCCAATTAAAAACCTTAGTATGAAACAGATTGATCAAAAGTAGGAAGTCAATGGGCAGGAACATACTGACAGAAGGAAGTAAAGATTAGGTGAGTAGGACCAGAGAACTTCTCTGGTCCTCTGGTCTGATCTAAACAGAGTATAAGGGCACTGAGGGGACCTGGCTTTGACACAGGGTGTTTTATACTGTTGGGTTTGGTAACTGCCATAGGTACTTTCCACTGTTGTGATAAAACACTGACCAAAATCAACTTGGGAAGAAAAGGGTTTATTTTATCTTACTCTTCCAAGTGACAGTCCATGACTGAGGGAAGTCAGGGCAAAAGCTCAGGGCAGGAGCCTGGAGGAAGGAGCTGAAGCACTGACCATGGAGAAACACTGCTTACCAGCTTGTTCAGCTACCTTTCTTATACAGCCCAGGCCCACCTGCTCATGGAAGGCACCATCCACAGTGGGCTGGGCCCTTCTGCATCAGTGAACAATTAAGAAAATGCTTCAAAGGACTGCCAACAGGCCAGTCTGATGGAGGTATTATCTCTCCATTGAGGTTCCTTCCTCCCAGGTGGCTCGTTTCTATGCAGTTGACAAAAAATATCCAGTGCAGTAACTTGACTTGAACCCAGGAGAACTGCTGAGCTCAAGAGTACTGATGTGGGGAGAGACAGAGGTGCACCCCTGAAGGCAGACAGGTTGCTAGAGCTCGCTGAAGGTCCTAACAGACCTAAAGCAAATGAGAACGTATGTATGGGCTCCAGGTTAGCCCAGTCTCTGAAGAGAGAAATCTTTCTTAGTCCCCTGGATAGCAAAATAAAATAGCTAAATGTAAATAAAAAGAACTTAAAGAGTCCTGACCTGGATACAGGCTTAAATTTATTATAATCCCAAAGAAACTTCCATCCTCCAGATTTATCTACAAACCAAGGCATACATACCCCTCAAGTGTGGAAAGCTCTGTTTTTTGGATCACAAATTCCTTACAGCACAATATGTGATAATTTGCAGGTGTATGTGTGTGCATGCGTGTGTGCGTGTAAGCAGATTCTGTAACTTGTAGTACATCCACAGTATCTCAAGAGTCTACAAATGACTTTGGACAATCACTTGCGAAAATGAATTCAGTCTGTGTGGAAGACACACATCTCATCTTACCGTGCAAACTGCTTGAGTCAGGTGTTTGCATCCCTGGCGATAGGTATTATGGACTGCATCAGGCCTTCAAAACAAATATTCAATTATCAAGATAAAGGAAAAGAAGTATGTGAAAATTTTCGGTATTTCAAAATTTATACTGAAACTTATTAAGCATAAGATCGTAATACTTACTGCTTCCTGTACCAGGAGAGGACTCCATGTTCTAACACTACCCAAAATAACTTCCAGCCAAAAAATCTCGTACTCTAAAGAAAAATGACCAAGATTTTCATGCTGAAGCATATGAATTCAAATACATCACTGACACAAAGTAATTAAGTTCAAACACACTGAGTCTTCCACCTAGACAGTACTGAACAGTACAATGTGACCAAAGATGCAGTCATACTAAGTGCATCGAGGAAAGCACAGCCTCACGACAGGGCAGCTGCACAGAGGAGATGCCACACTGCTGAGATCAGTGATGAAAAGGAACTATGTACAGAAAACAGCAGTTCTGGGCTTCAACCACAATTTCTTCAGAGTTGCTAAAGACTGTTTAAAAGAAGAAAATTACCCAAAACTTATACAGTATAAATACACTCATCTATACAAATTTACAACCAGGGATTGTTTAAAAATGCAAAAGAAGTCATGAGATAACATGCTTAATTCTAGAAACCAACTGAATTCTAAAACACACAAGATGTCTACAACCAGAGGAATTTTGTATGTCCCTCCTGTGACAATCCAGGCATTAATTTTCTGCCATGTCCTCCAGAGCTTGATGTTTTCAACAAAAACAATACTGCAATTATAATTTAGTGAAAAAATATTTTTTTCTCTACTGTTAAATTTAATCACTTTAAGTGCAACCAACACCAAATAAAAGATTGGTATAAGAAAAGGAAACCTCTTGAAACCCAAGAGTATACAAGTATACATTTTAAGATGAAAGAATGACTAAATCATATAAACAGACCTTCCTTGGCTTACCATAGTGTGTGTCCCAATAAACCCAACATGAGTTAAAAATATTTTAAGTAAAAAATGAACTTAAGGGCTGGGGAAGTAGCTCAGTAGTAGTGATCCTACCAAGCACATTCAAGTCCTGGGTTCAGTTCTCAGCACCACTCAAAAAATAAAGCATTTAGTATATTTGACCTAACCAACTTCAGAGCTCAGCTCAGCACACTGATATTTACATTAGCTACAACTGAGAAACCCATCTAACAAAAAGTCTACTTGATAAGAACTGTAATGCATCTCATGAACATACATGGATGGGTACTTCGTAGTACTAGTAAGATCCAAAAAAAAACAAAAAACAAAAAACCAGGCTGGGGTGTAGCTCAGTGGTAGGGAGCCTACGGAGCAATTAGGCTCTAGAGATTTAGCAGTGACCAATACAGGAAATATTTGCAGAGATAATAAATTTATAATAAAAAATAACAGAAATATAACAAGGCTCTGGAGAAAAAAGCCAAACATGCAAAACACATCACTCAAAGCACACTGGCAACACAGTACTCCACAGTCTTGGTTCCCCTGATGGTCACATGGGTGATTGCCCAGCATCATCAAGCATCACAGAACACCACTAGGAAAAGACCAAAATTTCTCATCAAAGTTTCTACTGAATGCATGTCTTTTTCACATTACTAAAAAGCCAAAAAAAATCAAATCAGACCATCTTCAGTCAGGGACAAGCTGTATGTCTGAAATGACAGGAAAAAAAAAAGAAAGAAAGAAAAAGAAAAGAAATTAACAGAAACAGAGTACCTGAGAATTGTTTCCAGTTTTATAACTGAAAACCATCCCATCCTACCTTCCAGAGAGGGCCTTCGTACCGTTTCAACGCTTTGTAGATGGCCTATTGGAAACATGTTTCATTAAAAACGTATGTATAGATCTCAAGCCTTCAACATTTTTGGTAAAACTTCCTTTATAAATTTAGTCAACACTACTACATACCTTACTACCAAGAATATGTTTCATTTCAGCACCCTGGGCAAGGTCAAAAGGTTTCTGATCTGTGTAAAATACAAGGGGAAAAAAGAGACCGTGAGCTTAACTACACTACAAAATTTATGTGGCAACTGTACCATATTAATACTCTTTCATTCTCCCATAAACTATTCCTCCCCTCTCACCCTACCCCCGACAAAACCCTAATCGAAGTTGCCCTCTCAATTCCTCATGGTTTCCTCCTGGCAGCTATTAAGCCAGAAAACCAGATTATCCTCAGATATTCTGTACAGGTTCTGTGACCCATCAGGCTTTCTGGCCTTAAATCACTGTCTTAGTTTTCTGACTGCTATAACAAATTACCACAGGCTTAATAGTTTAAAATACAGAGCTATTATCTTCTAGCCAATCTGTTTAAACCTTATGTAAACATATTCCAGGTAACTGCTTAATTCTTATAAATACTAAACACCTAGTATATATTTGTTGCTTTTGTCTACATTTCCTCTTATGAGATTCTGTTACTATGAGATTGTAAGGTGTCAATCACCATTTTAGGCCCTAGAGATTTAGCCGTGAATACAGGAAATAGTAACTTGGAAAGATAATAAATTTATAATAAAAAAGTAACAGTAAATCATGGTATGCCAAGATATTTTCATGAAAGATAGACTATAACTATCACTTTAGATAGAAGCTGAGGAGCTGGTCTGGGAAGACCTTTCTGAGAGGAATGGTTAGACTCGGGGGAAAAAAGGATCTAGCCTTCGAATACATAGGAGAAGGATGTTCAGGGGTAACACCAAGCACAAAGGCTCTGAGGTAGGAACAAGTCAGTGGCCAGGAGAGAAAGAGAGGTCATACCAGATACGGCTGTGTAAGCGGGATGTCTGTGAGTCAAGATGAGGAATCTAGTTTTCTAAATATGATAAAAAAGCTTCTAAACATTTAAGTCAAAAAGAAAGACTATTTAATTTATTTTTAAAATTCTGTCAGTATTTTTAAAATGTAAATTTTAGGGCTATGTATGGTGGCACAAGCTGGAGGCAGGAGGATTTCTGTTATGTTCCAGGCCAGCCAGGGCTACACAGTGAGAGTCCCCTTCAAAAAAGTAAACTGTAGTTATTTCATGATTTTGTGAAATTATAATATTAACTGGTTGGTACTATTGTACTTGTTTTTTGTTTGTTTTTCAGTTTAAGAAATGGTCTCTCTGTAAGCCAGCTGGACTGGACCTCACTATGCAGACCAGGTTGGCCTCAATCTCAGAGATCACCTACCTCTGCCTCCCAAGTGCTGAGACTAAAGGAATGCCTGATCCAACCAGTACTTATTTTTAAATAGCTCTATTGAGATACAAATTCATACACCATACAATTTTAATTTAAAATACACAATTAGTTTTTAATATGCTCAGTTAGACAACTCTCATGGTTTTTAAAGGATTCTCTCTTTTATTAATATACTGAAATATTTATAGAAGAAATGGCATGCTGTCTGGAATTGCTTTGAGATAATCTAGAGGTGGGAAGAGATGAGAAGAGTGTGGTCACTGTGGGCAGTTATCGCAGGAGAGCAAAGCACTTATCAATTGACCATCCTTTTGCTTGGCTTTGCTCATTTCCATATTACACCGTTAAAAGGTAGTGACCTTTTAAAGGTATGGGGTGGCTTACATCTTTGGTCCCAGCACTAGAGAGGCAAAAGCAGGCAGATCTCTGTGAGATCAAGGCCAGCCTGGTCTACATACCAAGTTCCAGGCCAGCAGGGGCTACAGGAAGACTCCATCTCAAAAAAAGTCAGTACAACTGCAAGGTAGGAAATGGCTTGTAAGAGTATGTAAGAGAAAACACCAGTTACAGAGGAGCAACAACAGTGCAGAAGACACTGGTAGCTTAAATCAGGCTTCAAAAGTTTTCTAATATGAAGAGGAGAGGAGTTCAGAGTCATTCTGGAGGCAGGCCTATAGAGTTGCTGATGGGTAAAGGCAGGTTACTGACATACTCCTTCTTCAGTGAGGGGAAGAAACCTTTTTCAAAAGTTCACTGAGAAATCAGTGATCAGTTTGGTTTCCTACACAAGTAGGAAGATAGCGGTCTCCCAAGTCTGTGTTATTTTTGTTCTATCTAAGGGCACTTTTGAGAAACTATCCTTTCAGCAGAGGGAAAGATGATAATATGATTTCTTTCACAGAATTCTGTCCTAATGCCTAAAATAAATTCTGAGCTACTGCCAGCTAGATGAAATATCAGAGCCTTATTTCTGAATTCAATGTCTACAGTGCCCTGCACACAGGAAAAACTCAATAAAGTACATTTAGAACTAAATGAGATGGCCTCCCTACCTACAGGAACTCATAACCAGTCATTTCAAAGTGTGCAATTCTTATCAAAATAAAATAAGTGGAATAATGAGTAGTTGAAAGTGTTCATGATACATCTTCATTCCTTAGTGCAAAAAGTCAATAAAAATGCCACTTCTCTTCAAACTAATTTGCATGTCATGGAATTTCAATTAAATCCTGAGTATTTTTACCAGGAACCTAAAAAGAAATTTAAATGCCATGTGCAACTCTTACATGCACAGCAGCATCAAAGCCAGCATCAAATAACCAGAAGAAAAGCACAAAGCACAAAAGCATCCTGGATATTCAAGGGGCCATACCCACCAGGAGCTTTCCATATCACTTTTTTGAGTACTTCATGTAGTAACTCTGCCTGCTTCCAAAATGGATGTGTAACCCTGCACTGGATAGCTTTAGTAGTCAACTTGATACTCCTGGGTAGAGGGAGCCTGAATTGGGGAACTGTCTCCATTAGACTGGCCTGTGGCCGTGTCTGTGGGGTATTTTCTTGATTGTTGAGTGACGTGGGAGAGCTCAGCCCACTGGGGGCCATGCTACCCCTGGACAAGTGGTCCTGTATAGTATAAGAAAGCAGGTTGAGCATGGGCCAAGGAAGCGAGCCAGTAAATAGCATTCCTCCAAGGCCTGTGTTTCAGGTTCCTGCCCAGAGTACCCACCTTGGGATCCCCAAGTGATGAACTATGACCTGGGAGATGTAAGCCAAATAAACCCTTTCCTCCCCAAGTTGGTATTGGTCAGAGTATTTTATTTTTTTAATATCTGTTTTTAATCTTATGTGTATGAGTGTTTTACCTACATGTATGTAAGTGCACCAATGTCATGCAGTACCCACAGAGGCCAGAAGAGAGTGTCAGATCCCCTGGACCTGGAGTTAAGGAGGGTTGTTAGCCATCATGTGGGTGCTGAGAGTCAAACCTGGGTCCTCTGGAAGAACAGCAAGTGTTCTTAACCACTGAGCCATTTCTCCAGACTTGGTCAGAGTATTTTTATCACAGCAAAAGAGAAGCTAAGACAAACCCCAAGGTCAATACTGTGGCAATTTCTTGGTCATTTAGAGACATTGCCAAAGTGGTGAAAAATTTTAGTTGCCCAATGCTTGCTGTCTCAGCTTGTTCTACAAGGGGCAGAACAAGGCAGAACTTGGCTTTCTCATTTCAGTGCACATAATCGGCAAATACCCCTACTGCTGTCTACTAATACCATATTTTGGTACCTTTTGCTTATGACTTCTGTTGGGAGCTATTAATCCATTATGTACATAAGCTGTGGCAGGCTTGTTTACTGAGTTTGTGTTTTGCACACCAGTACCTAATCTACCAAATCAGGAGGAATGTGTTTATATGGTAGAGCTCACAAAACAAGTATTTGAAGGCTCCTTGACCCTCAGATACAGGTGGGGAAAACAGCTGTTGAAACTAATTGAGTTCTTCTGCATAAAAAAGGCAGAGCTGAAATAAACCAGGGCTGCAGTATTCACTGTCAGTCCTCCCAAGCATCTTTTCCTTTCTGTCTCTTGTTTTTTCTTTCAATCCTCATTCCCCCTTTCAGGTACTGTCCATCTTGGCCGGCTGGCACCGGCAGACTTCCCGATATAAAATGGCCCCAAAGAATAGTGTCGAAGGGCTGAATAATGTTCCTAATTGCAGAACGGTGATGTGCCTTACAGAGAAAAAACAATTAGGGACTCTTCGCTCAGGCTACAGTAAATACATTGCTGGCTACGATGTGAGTGTTCATGAACCAAAAATATGTATTTAATAAGGTGTTTTCAAATATTTTTATCATTTATTATGTGTATGTTCTACCTGCATGTATGTAAGTGTACCTGTGTCATGCATAAATAAAGTGTTTTTAAGCATCAGCAATCACAACACAAAGTTAATCCATTGATCACTGGATGAAATTCTGTTGCCCAGAGGCTCACAGGACTTTAACCCTGGGTTTCCCGTAGGAACAATGGCTCAGAACTTACTAATTCAATGTTGGTGGCAACCTTAGGGAACATTACTGCAAGTTGCCCTATCATTCCCTTGATGGTAGGGCTGTTTTGGTTAACAATGGTATCTCATTTGAGTAGAGGGTGCATTACTAGTTAAGTCTTAAAGGAGAAGAAAATTAATGGTTTTTTTTTTTTCCTTTGCAAATGCCTTTATTTCGAAAGTTGAAACCATCCAGTTTAACAAAGGCTGGATATCAAAGCAAGTAATTTTATATAGTACTATCTTAATTTCAAGTGTCAGAATGACAAGAGCTTTTATCAAGATGCTTACCATTTTTGTTCTTCAGATTGGGGTCGGCTCCACTTTTCAGAAGCTTTAAGGCACACTGCTTATGGGCCCGGTAAGCTGCACAATGCAAGGGAGTATTTCCTAACTGATCCGAACAGTTAACATCAGGAGGATTGGGCCTGCTGAGCTACCAAGGAAATGCAATGCAGTTATATACCAAAGATGGCCTTCTTCTACACAGAAGGTTTCCAACAGAGCCTGGAGAAAAGCAGGGCTCCCAGGTACTCAGACTACCCACTTTTAGCTCACTACAGCAGCCAGCCTGCAACTCCCAGGCTTGCCCTCAGGAGCCCTGAGGTCTCAGGCCTGTGTCCCATCCCACACTACACCCGCACCAACCCATCTACCCCTCACATCAAGATTGCACTAAGATGTGCTCGCTCTTCCCAGGCTTGCACTTCACACTTGTGACAGCTAAGCTATCCATCATGCTCCCACAAGCAGTCCTGGAAAAGAGTTGAAACCAGAGATGTTCAGGGTGTGAATGTCATGGTGCTGCAGAATTTGTTGTTCCCACCTTACTGCTTTAGGATTCTATACAGTCTCCACAAAATTTAAAAAATGTAGCAGGCACTATACTTAGAAACCAAAGAAGCGCTTTCAAATGAGCCGAAATAACTTTAAAGCAAATGGCAAAGCTTCAGTCTTGAATTCAGAACAAATTTAGAGTTTCATGTTTCCAAGGAGGAAATGGAAACTGGAAAGTAGGTCTCCTACGAAGGGAAAAAAGCAGGCAAAGCACTCGATCTGTTCAAACATAATCAAGGTATTCAGAAACACTCCCTTCTTGGTATATTACTTCTAGGAAGACCACATTCAGAAATCATCATTCATCAAAATAAGAAAAATGCATTCTTGTATAGGATCTTGCATTTTTCTCCAGTTTTATATTTATTTATTTATTTATTTATTTATTTATTTATTTTTATTCATTCAATTGTTTTTGGCTTTTTTAAGACAGGGTCTCCCTGTAGCTCCAGCTGCCCTGGAACTCACTATGTAGACCAGGCTGGCCTTGAAATAACAGAGATCCACCTGCCTCTGCCTCCCAAGTGTTGGGAGTAAAGGCGTGTGTTATACGCCCAGCTTCTTTAATTTTAAATGGGTTTAATCTGAAATTTTTCAAAAAGTATTTCCTTAACTATTTGCTATGAAAGACTGGATTCTTTATCAGGTTTTCGGTAGCACGTAAGAACAGAAATCAGAAATTTAGGAAAAATAGATCACTTAAACTGCTTAAATTATTACCATACTTGGAGTTGTTGGATATTTGAGAACATCTGATCTATTCCTATGATGAGTTTTTTTCTTCCACAATTCACTAAATTATGAACTTTAAGGAAGATATTCCTGCTGTATAAAGAAATCATGCTTCTTATACCAGAGCTATGAGATCAGCTGTTCTGCCTTCTCTGGCTGCTGCTAAGAGTAATTCTTCAAGCTTCCTTTGCTGAGTCCTCTCTACAGCTGCAAAAGGAAAAATATGCATTACTCCACTGCTCAGCACAATCCTACAGAAAAATCCATTACAAAGAATTCATTACAGAGTATAAAGAAGAGGCTGGAGAGACGGCTCAGCAGCTGACAGCACTTGCTGCTCTTCCAGAGGACTCAAGTTCAGTTGCCAGCACTCACACTGGGTGGCTCACAACCAACTGTAATTCCAGCTCCAGGGGCTCCGACACCCTCTTCTGGCCACCATGGGCTCCAGCACACACCCACCATACATTTGCACAGATACATGCACAAAAGTAAACATAAAAATCTTTGTAAAGTGAAAGGTCAAATATATCTATGCTAAAATAACTCAGTCATACATATAATATATACTATAGCTAATATTTAATACAATATATATTATATACTAAAACATTGAAAATCGAGAATAAGGGTAATTTGCAAAGAAAGGAACATAATGTTTGTTCTTTTTATTCATGGTGGATGTGTACATTCAACTTTCTTTGAAATAGCAGGTATCATTTCTGTATTCCATAAGAGTCCAGTAAGTGCTATTATCCCTTTTGCACAGTAACTGTACAATTTGGGCTTCCATTTTAATTCCATTGACCATTAATACAGTGATAATTGGACATGGACATTGATTTGTTGTTTATGCTGAATGAGACTTTCACTAGTCTTTGTAACTACTTTTATTTTACTATAAGTTTTCTGATTTTCTAATGAAACTTAAAAAAAATTTTAAATGCCAAGAATACAAAGAATAAATGGGTCATAGAAAAAATCAAATGCTTTGAAGTGAAACTCATATTCAGTTATATCTGTGAATTTAATTGCTTTTCATTTTAGATGAGTTCAGTTTCTGTCAGGCTGGAGAGAATGGCTCAGTAGTTAAGAGCTCTGGATATTGTTGCAGAGGACCCAGGTTCAGTTCCCAGTACTCACAGCCCCTAACAACCATCTGTAACTCCAGTTTCAGGGGATCCTATGCCCTCTTCTGGCCTCCATGGGCTTTGTACAACACAGATGCACTTACATACATGCAGACTATACACTCATACACATAAAATAAAAATAATAAAATGATTTTTTAAATGAATAGAAGTAATTTAGTTTTGTCTTAATACATGGGTAAAGTTACTACACATCTTCTATTCTCACGGTTTTATTTTCACATCCTGTCTTTCCCACTGTCTCCACACAGGCTTCTGTCAGTGGGTGTTCTCCATCTTTCCTCTCACTGACTCTGCGAGTCTCTGAACTGTGAGCTCGTTGAAAGGAGGGACATCCCCATCATCTTGTGCATGTCTCTAGTTTGGATACACTTCTGAGCTGCAAATGTATTCTTTCATCATTGTTCAAGTCATGACTCAATTCTCACCCTTAACTATCCCAAGCGTTTATAATATCAGACATAAAGCTGTTAAGTCAGTAATAATCAAATAAAGCATAGTAACAGTCTACACTATTTCTCTAGGAAGAGAAATAAATGATACCCTAATAGGCCTTCTAGAATTTCTAGGCTCATTCACAAGGGAAAACAGTCAAAGATACTAAAATGAAAGTCCTGTGTGCTCCTGGGCACTTCCCATCCTGTGCCCAGTTATGTTATACAAAGAAGACTGCTGATCCAACCAATGAAAAGCAAATATTCCTGTTTGGGATGAGGTAGCTCCTAGGGGTTCTTTTCTTGATGTGGGGGTGCTATTTATATAGATGCTTTAAATTTATGGAAATAGTGAGTTACACAGTAATGATGTATAATTCTCACTAGGTTGCCAAGGCTGACCCAAAATTCCTGTGGCTCCTGCCCCTACCTCCTGTGTACTGAGATTAGAGGTATGTGCTAAGACACTCAGATCTCAGTAAATGTTTCTTAAACCAAATACTCCAAATTCAAAATCCATTTTAAGATTGTTTATTTTTATATTATGTGTATTGAGTGGTCTGCCTCCATGTATGCATGTGCACCACATGCATGCTTGATGCTGCAGAGATCAGAAGAGTGTGGGATACTTGGAGCTACAGACAGTGGTTAGCCATCACATGGGTGCTGACATCCAAACCCAGGTCCTCAAGAGAACTACATACTTTTAACCACTGAGTCATCTCTCCAGTCCCAGCATTGTTTTAAATTTAATATGACTTTCATTTCAACCACAAACCAAAGTTAGTTGGGGCTAACAGATTTTTTTAAATATTTATTATTTTTATTTTATGTGTATACATGTATTGCCTGCATGTAGGTAAGTGCACTCGTGTGGTGCAAGAGACAAAAGAAGCCGTCAGATCCCCAGGAACTGGAGTTATGGACAGTTGTTAGCTGCCATGTGGGTGCTGGGATTTGAACCAGGTCTTCTACAAGAACCACCAGTGTTCTTAACTGCTGAGCCATCTCTCCAGCCCCCAGGGCTAACATATTTTAAATCTACCTTAATTGGCTGGGCGTGGTTGTGCACGCCTTTAATCCCAGCACTTGGGAGGCAGAGGCAGGCGGATCTCTGTGAGTTCGAGGCCAGCCTGGTCTACATAGCGAGTTCCAGGTCAGCTGGGGCTACAGGGAGACCCTGTCTCAAAAAGACCAAAAAAAAAAAAAAATCTACCTTAATCATGCTGACAATTAAGATACTTTCTCAGAATAAGTTAAGTAATAGTACACTTGAAATGCAGCAAGCACTTGAGAAGTGCTCAGGATACTTCAGGATAGGAAGTCTCTACTTCAACCAGATGTGGGGCACACATTTTAACTCCAGCACTCGGGAAGCAGAGGTAGGAAGATCTCTGTGAGATAGAGGCCAGCCTGATCTACATAGCAAGTTCCAGGTCAGCTGTGGCTACAGGGAAACCATGTCTCAAAAAACAAAACAAGCAAACTTCACCTTCCCGCCCCCACACACAAAAAAGGTCGATATCATAAAAAAAAAAAAAAAAAAAAAAAA